AAAACGATTATTTTATCTAACTGATGGTACATTTTACTTTACATGCCTTCAAGTGTTATTAATCTATGGCTGAGGAGTTATGTATAGCGACTTTGTCGTGCTAAAACAACACTTGTCAAAGTAATAATGAGCATTTATTGCCCATCAGCTTATCGCCAATAACGGAGCAATTTATAGAAATAAAAGTTAGCCTAGATGTATTTTCATACGAACAAAGCATATACGTATACGAGTATATAAAAAATTTAAGTTTTAACTTAGAATACGCGATTTATTCCTTCACAATAAAACTGCAACCAAAAATGTCACAGTCGATATCTCCAAAACGAGTGATCTGACAAACATTCCTCAAGAGACAAAAATTATGGAAAATTGAATGATATTTTACAAAATGTACTTTCTCCGGAAAGGTCAATGGCGTAGAAAATATTTCCTATTAGAGGGGTCCACGTACCTTAGTTTCTATGTCCCTGGTTTAGTTTGGGCCAGGAAACTGTATGTTTATTGCTGATGATGTGTTCACTGAACGTCTAAAATTCTATCTCAGTATCTTCCGCTTCGTAGATATACAGGGTAATTCACAAGTCGTGACCAAAAATGAAACATTATACACATAACCGCATTTTAAGGGGGGGGTCTTCTATGTAACATTTTTTCCTCGAGGGCTTCATTAAAAAGATACGTGGTGTTGAAGTTTAAAAATAAAAAACATTTTTATTAATATCTTCAAAACCGTCAGCAGGAATGAACTAAAATTTGGTATGTGGATTCACCTAAGTATTGTCCACATTCAAAAGTCTTTATTTAAAATTAACGTGCACTAGTGGCGGAGATACAGGGTATAAGAAGCACTATTTTTCAAATAAAAATAGTACGCCACTGTTTTTTTCAAAACGCGCAATTTTTCGAATTTTACCTTCAATTTGCTAAAAATAATTACTCTTGTGTTTTTTTCCTAGAGTGCACTGTTTTCGTAAAAATAAAAATAAAATAAATTAGATCATTCATCAAGAGATACAATTAGTTTCAAAATAAAATAGGAGGCCTTGATACAAACTTGACGTTTCTGGAAGATAGTTTATCAAAGTTCTGTGTTATACGGTTGTTATCATTACTACTATTTTTTTTTGTAAAAGTCAAAAGTTTGTTTTTTCCATTTTTGAGTGTTGTGAAATGGAACTTAGCAATGATGAGTAAGCCCATATTATTTTTGTGTACTGGTTCTGTAATGGAAATGCTGTAGCGGCTTCTCGGGTGTATCAACGTAGATTTCCTAACAGACGCCAACCTACCCAAAAGTTTTTACGCATTCATTTCTAAGACTTCGGCAATATGGAATTGCCAAACTTCCCGGAGGTAGAGGCTATGGTGGCCGGCACACTGTTCAAGAGGAAGTGGAAGTGATTAATTTGGGAATCGGGAAGTTTTACATCTTTACCATCGGCAAAATGTGCACTGTCTGTAACACGGCGACGAAGTACAACGGCGAAATTTTTGCGAGTGGTTACTGAAAATGCATAATCAAAATTCAGATTTTATTGATTTGGTTTTGTGGTTAGATGAATAGCTTTTTACGAGGAGTGGAACCTTTAATTCTCATAATGAATATATTTGGTCGTTAAAAAATCCCCGTTCTGTAAGAATCCACTCGTTTCAACACAGATTTTCTAGAAATGTCTGGTACGGCATTTACAAACTGTTTATGCACGTATTAATACAATGTTTAAATGCAAACTCATACTTAGCTTTTCTAGAGAATTACATAGGAAATATATTAGATGATGTTCCGTTAGCAACGAGAGTACGAGTGTGGTATCAGCACGACGGTGCCTCACCGCATGTTCGTCGTGACATAACCGTATGGTTAAATAATCAATTTAGACATCGATGGATTTGCAGAAACAGACCCGTAAATTGGCCTGCGAGGTCTCCTGATATCCGCCAGAATGTTGGTCTTTTTGAACATTTATTGAAATAAAGGTTTGATTATCTAAAATGCACATATTGCCACAACGTTTAAATGCAAATTCAAACTTAGCTTTTCTAAAGAATTACAGTGGAATCTACTTATAATGAACTTGCTTATAATGGAAACCCGTATATAATGGACACCATTTAAGGTCCTATAAATAATTGCATGTAAAATCCTCGGATATTATAGACTCGCTTAAAATGGCGGACTGTTTTAATCCATTATATGCGAGCTATTTTAGTACTTACCCAAAGCAGATTTAGCTGAGGCAATCTTTTACGGCAGTTTGGCTTCGCAGTTTGCATTCGAACTGGGCCACGAGTGTTATACTATATTTATTAGAGTTATAAACATGTCGAAAAGTGCGAAACGTGCATTCACTTTACACGAAAAGTTCACAATAATTATCTCAAGCAAATATATATGCTCGTATGGCTATAAAAAATCCACTGTGTCAAATATTTGGAAAAACCGTGACAAAATTAAAAATGACTGGAAATCAAATAGTTAAAAGAAAAAAATGCGGCTATCGCTGCATCCCCAAGTCGATGATATGCTGTTTAAATGGTTTCAACAAAAGCGTGCTAATAATTTTCCAATAAGTGGATCTATGCTACAAATAAAGGCTGAAGAATTTGGAAAATTGATTGGAGATTACTTAAAATGTAGTTCCGGTTGGCTAGACAGGTTTAAGAAAAGACATAATATTGTTTTTGGAAAAATGTGTGGGGCGTCAGCTTCGTCAGAGCGTTACCAATGACTGGATTTCTCAAGTTTGACCCGCAATATCCAGTGATTATTCAGATGATAACATATTTAATGCCGATGAAACCGGGATATTTTATAGAATGCTACCAGATAAAACTCATAAATTAAAAGGTGAAACTTGCAATGGAGGGAAACTATTAAAAGAGCGAATAACCGTTATGATTTGTGCTGCTTCTGGTAGTGAAAAGCGGAAACTATTGATAGTAGGTAAAAGAATGAAAAGAAATTCATGTTCTAATTTTTTTGATATTCAATGGCAGTGCTGCAAAGAATTTATGACCTTTTGTATTTCAGCGAATTTAAGAATCCCAGGTGTTTCAAAAATGTTAAAACAATTCCCGTCGATTATGTTGGAAATAATAAAGCTTGGATGACTTCATCAATTTTTTAAGAATATTTAAAAAAGTGGGACGCTGAACTTAAGAAAAATCGTAATATTTTGCTCTTGGTCGATAACTGCCCGGCTCATCCAAATATTTCACTTAATAACATCAACCTTAAATTTTTCACCCAATGTGACATCAGTTCTGCAACCAATGGACCAGGGTGTCATTTGGAGTCTTAAACAAATGTATCGGAAACATATGTTGATGAAAATTATGGAGCCTCAAGAAGATGTCAACATTACCAAAGCTGTCACCATTTTAGATGCTATAAATTTGATTACTGTTGCATGGGAATTGGTTACTCCAGAAACGATTCGTAATTGTTTTCGCTATGCTGGTTTAGTGAAAAACATAAGTGAAATAGTCAACGATTTTAATCCAGAAGATGAAATTCCATTAAGTGATTTACTGAAAATTAATATTTTACTGAATATAGACAAATTTAATGAGTATTAAACTGTTGACAATAATTTAATAGCAACACAGGAATTGTCAGACTCCAATTTGGTCAATGAAGGATCCGTTGATAACAAACAGGAAGACGAACTAGAAAACAATGATGAAGAAGAGCTTCCAGTGACAACTAAGGAGGCATTAGACTGCGTGAAAATGTTGCAACGTTATTTTCAGCAAGAAGAAGACAGTACAGCCACACTTACAAATTAAATAAAATTCAACTTGATATTCTAAATAATTACGCCAAAAAAAATCTGTTCAAATGAAAATTACTAGCTTTTTCCAAATAATTTACGGTTTTTACACATACCTACAAAACGTATGCCGATAATATGTGTATCAGATTCTGAAAAAATGCAAATTTCAAAATTACGTATAACTTTTTTGTATGTATCTTTATTTATGTAATACATGTTAAACAAACATATTTTAAGCTTTTAGTATGTTATTTCTGCTAATTTTTTCATTAAAAAAGTGTATCTTTTAAGATGGTCATTCGCCTATCATAGACTATTTGTCACAGCATGGTTAAATAATCAATTTAGACAACGATCGATTGGCAGAAACGGACCCGTACATCGGCCTGCGAGCTCTCCTGATTTGAACCCCGTGGATTTCTTTTTGTGAGGCGCTTTCAAACAACTAGTGAATCCTGAACAAATTAATACTGTTGATCAGTTACAAGAAAGTATAGATAATGCGTTTCATCAAATTCAATCCACAACAAATTTCGTGGAATTTCTATTTTCTTTATAAAAAAGATGCCGCACCTGTATCCGTCAGAATGGTGGTCTTTTTGAACATTAATTAAAATAAAGCTTTGATTATCTAATTTGTTTTTTTTATTTTTATGAAAACAATGCACTCTAGGGAAAAAACACAAGAGTAATTATTTGTAGCAACTTGAAGGTAAAATTCGAAAAAATGCGCATTTCGAAGAACTTGGTGTACTATTTTTATTTGGAAAAATGCTTCTAATCCCCCGTATCTCCGCCACTGCTGCACGTTAATTTCAAGTAAAGACTTTTAAATTTGGGCAATACTTAGGTAAATCCACCCCAAATTTTTTTAATGAAGCCCTCGAGGAAAAAATGTTACATAGAAGACCCAACTTAAAATGCGGTCCTGCGTATGAAATTTTTGGTCACGACTTGTGAATCACCCTGTATATATTTTTTCAATTTCGTAAATGAAACTTCATCACCATGTATCTCGGTAGGGTAGCATCATTGGATCCATATTCATAGGAGCTTTTTTTGCTATTTTTGGACCTACTTTCTACCTTAGAAATGGCACACCTTTCTTCAACATCCTGTTTGATGGTTTCTTTCGGAATGTTGGCATTAGAAAAAGTTAGGATACAATGAATATAGAAAAGCTGCAATGCCTGGGACTATGAAATATCACACAAGATATAGGTAAAGGTTATTAATAAATTACAAATGACAACCTCTCATTCCTTTTAACTATTACGGGTATATAATTTAGTACTCCTTTTCACAGTTTTAGTAAATTCCGTTTATAAATATATAAAGCTTTTGAACTCAGAATTTACATATACTCTAATAGGGGAGTAATCTCAAAAGTAGGATTTCTTGCTGGCAGAATTCCATGTTTTCCGACTGCTAAACTAATTGTTTTAACGGACTACAGATTCCTCATAATAAAAAATGGTTTCAACTATGAAAGGAGCATCAACTAGTTTTCCTTACCTAAGCATAGATAACAAAATGTATATAAATAGGTCGCTTAAGTGTGTATAAAAACAGATATTGCACGAATAAATAATCAATAAATAAAACAACCACAATATGACTAGAAAAGGGTCATGCAATTTTGCAGCGTCGGGGGATATTCACTAGGCTGGCCTGCGGACTGTATTTGTTGAGATGACTGCACAGCCGCCATTGCCATGGAAACTGGTGTTGCCGACGGGTGATATGGCACCTGAAAGTAATAGTTTATCAAATTCAAGACTAAACCCGCGGTTCCGCTGGCGGGGAAAGAGTATAAAGTATACGTCATTCGATTTGCTTTAGTGGGAAGGAGACTGGTTTCCGAAAAGGAAATGCAATATTCAAAGTAATGCAATAGTTACTTTGAAAATGGACATTTTTTATTCAGTATTTTAATGCAACAATATATTAATATTGAATGTGTAATTAGAATTATAATAAATAAAACGTAGATGATCTCACAGCCTGTGTGGCATATCCCAACATCCTAACCCATTAAATATACTAAGTGACATATAATATATTTATTGAATTGTGATAAAAACTTGTAAGCGTATTTGCTATCAGGGAAGTACACGCTGATAAAACGTTGAAGACATTCCGAGCCGTCCTTTTTTGTGAAGTTTTTTTGTCGTATCGGGATACAAACAATATGAGCATGTTTACTTAATATTCAGTGATTTTTCTGTGTTGGGATTCCAGTTGTTTCATTGCATTATCATGCATAGAGTTCGTAGACGCGCTAATTTCATTCAACTTTCCGAGTTTGAGAGATAATCGGGTTACGTGAAGTCGGATTTACAGAAATCGTTAATCGGGTGAATCGAAACGAAGCTAGTGTAATCAGATGTTGTCCAGCGTGGTTCCAAGAAGGCTGAACTCGACGAGTTAGAGGTACTGGACGCTGAAGACAGGATACAGAGCGATCGAATCATTATTTCAGGCAACTAGCACTTAAGAGATCGATTTTCCACAACAAGGGCAGTTGCGAACAACTGGTTTGATGCTGTTGGAAGGGCAATAATAATGAGGACAGTTTATTGCCGAATGAGGTTTTTTGGACTGTTTTCGTACCTTCCCCATCTTGTAGTACCTCTAACTCCACAAGTATCGTCGGCAACGATTGGTATGGAGTAGGGAGAGACTTGGATGGAATATGGAATGGAACTCAGTCGTGTTAAGCGATGAGTCCAGATTCTGTTTGGGCACACATGATGGCCGTGCAAGAGTAAGGAGGTGACGTGGTGAAAGAATATTCCATCCAACATCATATCAATCGTACTGTGGCTGCTATGGTATGGGGTGCCATTGCTTACGGCAGCAGGTCACGATTCGAGGTAGCATGCCTGCCCAGCGCTATATCCACCAAGTTTTATAACCACATCTGCTTCCCTTTTTGGAAACATTGCAAGATCCACTTTTCAGCAGGACGATGCACGACCTCAAGTCGCACGTGTTAGTTTAGACTTTTAAGAAGCAGCTGGAATTAATCTGCTTCAGTGCCCCCCTCGATCTCCAGACCTTTCTCCCATCGAACATGTATGGGAAATGATGATAGGAAGGTTGCAAAATTCACCGTACCCTCCACAAACATTGGAGGCTCTACGAAACCAAATTCAGATGGCCTAGGATACAATACACCAAGAAGACATCAATCACCTAATCCAATCAATTTCGACTTAACGAATGTGTAGCGAATAGAGGAATTTCAACAAATTATTAACATTAAGATGGGATATTTAAGCTATTTTGCGAAATTTCGAGTTAAAATTGAAGCAGATTTACACCGGACGCTTCTAAAAAGTCTAAACTAAGACGTGCAACATGAGGTCGTGCATAGTCCTGCTTAAAAGGTGGATCTTGCAATGTTTCCAAAAAGGGCAGTAGGTGTTGTTGTAAAACTTCGTGGATATAGCGCTGGACTGTCAACTCGAATGAACATTAATCGTGACCTGGTACCGTAACCAATGGCACTCCATACCGTAACACCCACAGTGCGATGAATATGCCGTTCGATAGAATATTGGACGCCTTTCACCACGTCTACTCCTTACTCTTGCACGGCTATCATGTGTGCTCAAACAGAATCTGGACTAATTGCTGAAAACGACTGAGTTCCATTCCACATTCCATTCAAGTCTATACCTACTCCATACCAATCGTTGCCGACGATGCTGTGGGGTCAGAGGTAGTACAAGATGGGGATGGTATGAAAACAGTCCAAAAGACCTTTGTTGTGGAAAATCAATCTGGAGTGCTAGTTACATCAAATAACGATCATTTCGCTGTGTAGTCTGTTTTTGACGTCCGGTACCTCTAACTCGTCGATTTCAGCCTTCTTGGAACCACGCTCGACAACATCCCATTAGCTTCGTTTCGATTCACACGATTTCTCTAAAAGAAAATCCGACCCCTCTCAAGCTAAGAATGTTGAGTGAAATTAGCGCGCCCGCAAACTCTAGGCATGATAATGCAATGAAACAACAATGAAACAAATGGAACAAACAGAAAAATCACTGAATATTAAGTAAACATGTTGGGATCCTGTTATGTCGAAAAGACGCCAAAATTCATAAAAAAAATGCGAAAACCCACCGTGAACTGTTGGCGTATCACATCATTTAATTGTTTTTCAATCTTCGACTGAAATGTTGCGTTCCAGATCCATGAACAGTAATTACTTTGATAATTTTCAAATCATCTGCATATAGGATATCACATTTTTTAATGCAATTCAGAAACATCTGTTATAGAACAATTAAACAATAGTGTGGACATATGACCTCTTGAGGAATACCAGAAGACATAGTTATTTCAGAAGTTGAGGTAGAAGCCTGTAGTACCACCTTTAAAATGGACGATGTTTCTATATTGGCGAAATAAGCATTAGAGCGCGTCGCTGTCTTTCAGGCAGCAGCGGTGGCCGCAGTAGTAGACTTTTCGGTCTCCTGATCAGTCGCCGTGTGCTGTGCGGGTTCGAATCCCGTCCAGTGAGAAAATTTTCTCTTATCTATGGATGCTGTGATTGTCCGTAGGTGGTAGACGATCTCTGACTGTCGAACGTAGAGGTACCACCCGGCGGATCTCGTAGGCGGGGCCAGAATGTGTGCATGTTGCATGCACACCTGTTCCCTCGCCAGAGTCCGTGTGGCGTTCCCCCTTTCCCATGTATCCCCCTATAGCCCCACGGTACGCAATGGGTGGTTAGGCATTAGGCCTTCATGGTAGTTGGAGTATATAAAAAAGATATATTTTTTTTAATTTTAAACACTTGTTTTCTTCCAATAAGATAACTTTTTGTCCAATCCAACAAGGGTACATGCACCCTCAATGCCTTCAGTTTCCCAAGTAATATGTTATGTCAAAGGCCTCTTGAAATCAGTATAGATAACATCCACTTGATAAAGTAACAAACATCCACACTTTCATATTTTTAATATTAGTAGAGATTACTATTGATCAACGTATTCTACCTAAAGATAGTCATCACCATATACCGTATTCTCCCGCCAAACAGGAATCTCAAAGATTCTAGCGAAAAACATTAGGACGATCACCCAAACATAGCCAAGCGTTTTTAGGGGCTTCTAGTTTGCGGCAAGCGACAAATGCGTAGATCCGACATTACATTAGACTAAAAAAATCCTCAAAATTACGGTTTCTGAACTTACGGAAGAGTTATGATGGAACCTTGGATCCAGCATCATGGCAGCTGCAGCGACCGCAGCTGCAGTAGAGGTCGCAGTTTGGCCTCTGGACAGTGCTGGGTGACTGGCTGCCCCCAAATGGCTGGCAACACTACCTACGCTACCTCCAGCAGCACCTCTTGCAGCATGGCTTCCCGACAGAATTTGATTATGCAAACTGAAAAAAAATGAAGGGGATATAAAATGATAATAGAACGGACAAAAGTTAACACAAAATGAAACACTAGGGTCATTTTTTAAGCTGGAACCGTTTTGTAATGAAGTCAGAGAAATTTTATTAAGAATGTAAATTGTATCACAAACTAAAATAACATTTTTTCATTTTTCAACATAATCACCACAAACATTTGTCAAGTTGTTGTACCAGCTTTTGTATCTCGTCGTTAAAGAATGCTGTCGCCTGGCTGTTAAACAAATTATGTACTAACTGTTTCACGCACTACTCACGTTGCCTAAGAAACAACTACTTTCAAGTAAAAAGAAGAATTTTACATCTAAGTGGAGGTCTTCCAAAGGAATCACCGTTTCCGCCAGTGGTGGAGTGACTTCAGTCAATCGCAATTAAAAACTCCGATGTGAAGCCCAACATTTGGCTCCGATATGTGGATGACACTTTCGTGATCTGGACCTTGGATAAGAGTAACGACACCTAAACAATCTAAGACCATCGATAAAGTTTACAAGGGAAAAAGAGAACAACAACAGGAATTCATTCTTGGACGGTATGGTAAGGTAGAACAATTTTTGAATAGAAACTACTGCATACATAAAACGAACACATATGTACAATATCTAAATTTCTGTTCCAGTCATCCAGCAACCACGGAGAAAGGCGTAACCCTTATCGACCGAGCAAAGAGCATCTGCAACACGCAAACAAATCTAATCTAAAATGTAAGAAGAAATAACTACCCAAGACAACTGATAAACCAACAGTAGAAACACCTCGCAGTATCTTTACAAAGACTCAACCTATGAACAAAACCAGAACACTAAGTGCCCTGTAAAGGCGCAGAGATATACAGGGTTTGTCCGGAAAGTAATAGGACCGAGTCGATTTAAAAAAAATTATTGAACCAATCGTTACAATTCTTTAAAAACTTGCAAAATAGACTCCTTCGTCGTTGCAGCGCTGACAGCGCGATTTCCAAGCATTGAAGGCGTCACGGAAGGCATTCTCCGGAATAGTCTTGAGAGCCGCGGTGCATGCTGCTTGGATCCCCTCTGTCGTCTCAAAATGCTTGCCTTTCATCGGCTTTTTCAGGCGATGAATCAAAAAAAAGTCCGGGGGGCCACATCTGGGCTGAAGGGCGGCTGAGGAAGCGTTGAGATGCCGGCCTTAATCAGGTAGCTGTTCACAAGAAAGGCGGTGTGAGCCGAGGCGTTGTCGTGGTGCAACTTCCAATCGGCTGCGATGTCTTGTCGGACCCGACTGACCCTTCGTTTGAGTCTCCTGAGCACATCCACATAAAACTTGGCGTTGACGGTTTGCCCAGGAGGGACAAATTCATGGTGGACGATGCCTTTAATGTCAAAAAAGACAATGAGCATCGTTTTCACTTTGGATTTGCTCATTCTTTCCTTTTTTTGGGCGAGGAGACGCCGTCGTGTGCCACTCGGAAGATTGCCTCTTTGTGTCGGGATCATACTCAAAGATCCACGACTCGTCACCTGTGATTACGTTATTCAAAAATTGGGGGTCACTTTCACACATGTTCAAATTTTCTTGGCACACTTCCACTCGCCGCAATTTCTGGTCGTCAGTGAGCACTTTTGGGACCATCTTCGCGCACACGTTGCGCATGTTCAAATGATGTGTCACAATGTCATGAACCACAGATTTTGGTAAATTTAACATCTGGGCAATTAAACGAATACTTAGTCGACGGTCTGAGTTCAAAACTTTGCGCACACGAGTCACATTATCGGTATTTGTCGAAGTCGAAGGTCTTCCAGCACGGTCTTCATCAGCGACCTCTTCCCGGCCCTCCAAAAAGGCCTGGTGCCACCGAAACACACCACTTGTTGCTAAAGCAACACCTGGGTAAGCCTGTTTGATCATATCAAACGTCTCTGTCGCAGATTTACCGAGTTTCACACAGAATTTAATCGCGTACCTCTGCTCTAACGAACGCTGCATTTTCGGCTTGCACCACTCACAGAAACACGTCGTGCGAAAATGCCTGTCCTGACTCTCCAAGTGCTCGGAGTCAACTGACCAGCCGCTCATTCGTTAGCTAGGAACGCACGCCCCGAAGTACAGTCATCGCGGAAGAAAATGAGTCCTATTACTTTCCGGACAAACCCTGTACATAGTGATAGATTTGATATAAAAAATGTACTTCGAAAAACCACAACCACAACAGGCTCCTTTTAATTCGAGCGGTACGCACGGAGTGATCGTGGAACGATGCATCACAGGCGTGCCGACCATGGGTGGTCACGGTTGCGGGAACGATGCGCAATTCATTCCTACTTTGAAAATGGCCCTCGTAATAAAAAAATCAAAATGTTAAGCTGAATACATGATAACATGGATTCTTACCTAGCTGCTGCCGCGGCAGCCGCTGCCGCCGCAGTTGCTGTTGCAGCGGCGTTGTGATGAGCGTGCGCAGGATGATGATGGGCATGATGCGCATGCGCCGGATGGTGATGGGAAAAATCGGTTGGATCACCACCACTGCCACTTGATGTTGCACCGCTTGTAAATGGTGGATAGGAGGAATTTACTGTTGTCAAGTTGGTTGCTGGAAACAATAAGCTTAAATTCTGGACTTGTTCAAACTTGACAAAAAAGTGATGAGTATAAGCATTGATTAATGTATTTGAAAGTTTTTAATGCTCTAGTTTGGCTGCTTCGTCATGATCTACCTTATTTCGATTTTGCGCAGTAGCGAGACAATCATCCGTTATCGAAGTAAGAAAGCTCCGTTAGTTACAGAGAATACGGGAAGAGCTTATTTCGTAAGGTTATTTTTTCCTTATTCAGCACTCTTGTCGGAATTTGTAAAGCTGGGATAAGCTCAATTAAAATAATCTCAAGTTATAAAAACATATTGGTTAAACATATGAGTTTGTGATCACAGATAAAAGTAAATGCAAGAAATGGGCAGTGTTCTTAATTAATTCAATGGTAACGATTTTTGTTATATATGTAATGTGACAAGATATCCTTTTATTGTTTTATTGCAATTTTACTGGATTTGTGGTCAGTTCTGTGGTACTATGATTATAAAACTATACATTTTTTGTCCGGTTCGAGCACAAACATTAACGGAACTTTTCTATAATTTTTTTCAAATTATTGTGTTAGTTTCACGTCAAAAACGAAAAAAATAAGCAACCTGTATGACTTGTAAGTAGTCAGCACTGTCAAATTATCACGGCTCACATTAGTAGTTATAAAAACCTTTTTTTTCATTTTTTTTCTATCGCTGTCAAAAAGAATGTAATGGAAAGCTTAACGACTCGTTATTTTTGTTGCACTAAAAATTCTCTATTCTGTAAGATGCCCAAACGAATGCTGTATTTGGCCGTTCACATACAAATCCTGCCTGTCTCCAAATTGCGTAGGCTTGATAGATTTCTTAATGTAAAAGGATATCACAAGATTCTTGTTCATCATCGCGGGGAAAAGACCTACAGGAACAGGATATTCGTTATACAATCAAAAAAACTCAAGATGTGAAAACATTACTTGTTCAGAAAACAACAGGAAGGTACGTTGCCCAAGTTAATTGGCGAGTCTTTATAATTCATTTAGAACAATGCCTATTTCATGTATTTATTTTTAGCTGTGGCCTAAATATATATGTTACCGGCAATCTGTATAATCCGGTATTCTATACAACGCCTAGGTAATGTATAGAATACCTAAAACGAGTAGGTAATGCATGAAATATTATTTGTTTTATACTTTGCCTAGGTATTCTATACGAGAGCAAGGATCAGGTTTTACGAACCGACAAGGCAGTAGACCTACTTATTATTTGTTTCTTAAGTACATGTGAGAATAAAAAAATTACATATGTTACTTATAGCCAGAATAATTTTTAGTTTCACGTTAATTTTACTGTACTAACAGAAAGGTACTTTTTTCATAAAGCTTACTTTTAAGGAGCACTCTAATTGTTAATTTTAATAAAGTTGATTTTTAAATAATATGACTTGTTTCATTTGCCCGTCATTTTATAGATATCCCGGTTAACATTGATAAATATAGACCAAGTTATATTTATTTTACACATTGCTGGTGGAACAGCAGGTACTCTATACAATCCCTAGGAATTGTATTCATTACCTAGGTAAAGTATGTAATGGATAATAATATTCATAATATTTCATACATTACCTGGGCATCCCAGTTATTCTATGCATTGCCTAGGTATTGTATAGACTACCTGAATTTTATAGATTACCGGTAACATATATTTTAACCAATTGTTCTTATAACTAGAAATTATTTTAATAAAACTGACTCAGCTTTTCGAAGGATTTTCTCGCAACTGCGCAAAATTTAAATAACAAAGATATGAAAGGAACAAAGCAAGAGCACTATAAACTATTATTTGAGGTGCATTTCACTCTAAGGAGCAATATAAACAATAATCGTATTATATTGATATATTATTCCTCTTATAACCGTAATTCCATTCATTTTCTCAGTTTCAAGTATTAACATAAGTGAACACCACTTTTTTCTAAAATTTTGTTTTATATTTTATTGTCGCGTACGGATTTTCATCAAGTGTCTCGACACTAAATTTTGATTTCATAACTTCTTCTCTTCTTTCTTAGATGACTAAAAAATGCCTGTGGAGTTATGTTCCTTTCCATCACGCTAAAAATTGTCCAACCACTCCAAATACAGTAAATGTATTTCCAAACAAAGAATATTTTTATTTGTTAGAGGTAAGTTTGAAAGAGCAGATATAATGTTAAAGACATACCTGTGGCAGAATGATTCTGATGATGCATAATCAGCTCCTGAATTTCACTGCTTATAGCTTGACTAACTGGAGTACTGCTATTCGACTGACTAAACGTACCATTGTTAGTGCTGGAAGATGGCGAATTTTCATGTGACATCTACAAGAAAATAACAAAAATTCAATAGATAATATTCTTTGGAAAATTCATCAATAATACCTGTGATTTTGACTTAGTACTACTACCATTGGTGGCACTGCAATTTCTTAATGGTCTCGCCTTGTAAGGTACTTTAGCAGAAGCATTTTCGCCATGATGTCTTGTGAAGTGCTCTTTTAATTTATCCCTCCTGGAGCTCGCGTAATCGCAGTTTGAGCACTGTGATATTTAAAATTATAATGTCTAATAGTAATGATTAATATACTTCACCAGAAAATACCAAATGTGCTCAATACATTAACCAATAACTGAAGCTATTTCCACAACAAAATAGTATGAACTACCAAAACTATAATAGACAATTTGGTATCATTATCGAAAAAAAACGTATTAATTTCCCTAAATATTTCCTAGAAAAGTTTCAAACAAAAATTGCAAGGTTTGGAGCGGGCAAAGTGACTTTTACCTTGACCATGGCCTTGACCGCAACCTTCAAGGTCGCTGAAAAGTCAAGCAAATATTTTCAAATGGACCCCCCTTTTTACAGAGGCAATGGAAAGAAAGGGAATTTTATTTCCGATTATAAGCTTGACTTCAACAAGGTTATTTCAAGGTCAAACCAAGACATTGGCAACAATTTGCTCTAGCAAACGTGTTAGACAGTACAACTGTGAGCTTTGTAGGAGTCAGAAAAGGTGATCTTGATTAATAAAAATCGGGAGGCTGCCTTAAAAATAACATTTAAGATTGCCATGACCTTAAATTTGGAGTCAAGGTCACATTCGGACGTAAAATTGCCTTCTTTTCCAATTCCGCAATAAAAATCAGCTGTTTCTTTCGAAAATTTCGACTTGATCCTGAAAGGTATGGGCAAGGTCATACTGAGAGTCACCTTTTGGTAGCCTCCACAAACCTAACAACTGTGCTGTCGAACATTTTTGCTACGGCAAATTGTTTTCAATGTCTTTACCTGAGCTAGAAATGGGCTTGAATGTCATTGTTATGATCATGGTAAAGCTCATATTCGAACGTAGAATTTCCTCCTCTTTCCAGTTTCGATGTAAAAAGGGAGGGTCCCATTTAAAAATATTCGTTTGACCTTAAAATGACCTTGACGATCATGATCAATGTCCATTTCCCCCCTGGAAACCCCAACTCTTTTGTTTGAAACTATTTTCTAGGGTGCGTACCTTTCTAAATTTTTTAGTGGGAATAATAAAATGGGACACCCTGTATAAACATGGAAGGTGTTTTCGACAAATGGACACTAACCTTAAAAGGTTTCTCTTCTAAATGTATCCTTTCATGTCTGACCAAATGCGATTTTTCCATGAAACCCCTGCCGCAAACACTGCATGAATGTGGTCTTATACCATTATGCGTTTTTGCATGGGTAGCTAACTGGCTTTTCTTTGATGTTGTGTACTTACAATGAGGATACGAACACCTATATATATCGCCTGAAAAATGATCTGATGAAGCATCTTATAATAATGGTTTTCAAACTGTTTGCAACCGTCATATTCAATTGATCAAGACTTCAAATTTTGTTTTTAATTTGAGCACAATAAAAGACGAAACAAAACTATTTATATATATCTTTTGTATCTCAGTGTGCTTCATTATATACAGGTATTAGAAGTAAAATGTGTTGCGGCCATGGGTTCATATAAAAGTAAAAGTTATATATAAGTTATAATCGAAAATGGGTGACTTTTTGATAAAACTTCCAATTCCTGGCCTTTAAAAAACAATCAAGTACTGAAATATGAACAAAATGTTTATAAATGTTTAAAATAGATATGTTCTAAAATATTTGAATACTAAGAAGTCGGATGCGATCAACTTGAAAAGACAAAACATACAGAAAATGGGTCTTAGTCGATTTGCCTAAAAATTCAGTATGGTATATTCATAGACTTTCTGATAGGGGGATGAAGTTTGTACGATTCGAAAAAATGGTGAATGTGCCGATTGTAGTTTTCAGACCAAATACTGGTAGGATTGTTATCCTGAAAAAAATATTTCACTGAAGAACCTTTGAAGTGTTGGGAGGTGCTATGTTGATCTTGACCATGATCGTTAGAAGGTGGATTCATGAAAAATGCAAATGTGGCATTTGTACTCGAAGATTGCTGGATAGCCTACATCAGCAGTTAAAATGAACTCTGCCGCCTGGAAAACAGATATAAATAAATAAGTCATTGTCTAATGTACTAGTCCATTAAACATATGTGATTTCATTTATTGTCCAGTGTAGAGTTATAAGTTGCAACAACTTGAGTCAATGTTCACTTTTGTATGTATTCCCTTCCATCTTTAACAATGAACAATACCTTGTTTTGACCATGTGAAGGACATAATCAAAGACAATGAAACAACCACGACGTTTCTGTGACCTTAAAAACAGAACTGTCCTATTGAGTTCCCTGAATTATCGAACAATCCAATCCGTGCCGGATCTATTCCAGGATAAACATCTAAAGATCAACTTGCCCATATATTGAACTTGTAAGGATAATGATCAAGATCAACATGACATCTCCCAACACATCAAGGTGTTTTAATGAATACTTGTTTCAGTAAACCGATTCTCCGAGTTTTTGATCTGAGAACTACAGTGGGGAGGAACTGGGGTTCTCACATCTACATTATAGTGTTGTTCGCGTTATCAGCACATTCAACATTTTTTGCAATTGTACAAACTAATAACCCCATTTCTCAGAAACTAATCGAAGGATTGCTTTGGTACAATGATAACTCTTGCTCAGGAAGGTGGGAAATATAACATACTGATTTTTAGACGAATCTACTGGGACCCATTTTCCATGTTTTGTGCGGGGTCCTCTGCGTAATTTTCAGGGCCAAAACCCCGAATTCTATAGGGTGTCCAACGGAAGATTTTCAATTTTAAAATAAAATATAAAAAACTACACTGTTGTTATTTATTTTTATTACAATAAAATAGAGGTATAACAATGCGGATTTCATGTTTTAAACACGATATCTTCCAAATGTTGGCCGTTTTTCTCAAGGCACTCTTGCAGTCGGACCCTTACATTTGTAATTACGCGGCGCCAAAAGGCTGGAGTAATGCTTCGAATTTCACGACGAATATTGTCCTCAAGGGCATAAATTGTCTGGGCATTGTTATTGTACACCTTGGATTTGAGGTAACCCCATAAAAAGAAATCTCAAGGAGTGAGGTCTGGCGACCGAGGCGGCCATTGAATGTCTCCGTACTTGCTGATTAGCTTATTTGGAAGAATTGACCTCAACTTTTCCATCGACACCCTAGCTGTATGCGGACTAGCACCGTCTTACTGGAATAGCGTTCTGTTATTGGAACCTGGCTACAGCTGCAATTGCGGTAACGGAAACTCGTACGGCAATACACAGGAGCAGAAACTCTCTCCATGCCTGAAAAAATACGGGCTAATTACCCCGATGGCTGAAATGACACACCAAACTGTTGTTTTTGCACTGTAAACGTTTTTGATGGCGTTCTCCAGGGTTGTTAGGGCACCAGTTTCGCATATTTTGTTTATTAACATATGCACCGATATGGAAATGTTCTTTGTCGCTAAACAAAATGTTTCTAAGCGTGTGAGCAGTCCGAAAACGTTTCAGAATTATTTTTGCGAAGTTTTCTCATAAAGGATAGTCACTTTCGTTAAGACCGTGAACGATTTGCATTTTGTAAGCATGGAGCTTTGATTTCTTTTTCAAAATAACGTACACTGTTGATTCTTTTATTTTTGTGGAGGCCACAATCTTCCTTATTGATTTACGTGGATTTCGCAGAATTTCATTGCGAACTTGAGACATATATTCTGGCGTTGTTGCCGACGTTGATGGTCCCGGAGTTCTATCGACTACTGTCCCTTTTTGTCTGAATCTTTTCACCCACGACCAGATAAGCTGCGTGCTCGGTCCATCACTTAATCTTTGAATATTGAAATGAGTACAAAAAGCGCAACGTGCGCGAACCAATGATTCACCGCACTTCAAATATTGCTCGACTGTGAACTCGCGGTCTGCCTCCGAAAATTGACTCATGGCGACTAAGAATTCTGCCACTCCGTCGCTTCGAATGACAGCCCGCCCTCCTGCCTTACCCAGTTAGTATTTCCATAGTTGCCATGTAAACTTAAAAAACTCCCGCTGGACACCCTATACTACCATAATATTCATAAAAGCTATGCATCATGATGAAAAAAGAAATACTGATTTAAGCGACCGAACCTTAAGCTACCGCTTATAGACGCTGGTTCCTTATATAAAGCTTTCCGTATTTTAACGTACTGAATCAGCTCTCCAATTCTGCTGGCAACATTGTGTAACGTCGCGTAAATCTCATACCTGCATGTATCCTCTTATGTGCGATCATATGACTGAGAAACTTCGTATGAAACCCGCACGCGTCGCACACAAGATTCTTATCGGCATTGTGGTTCATCATGTGGCTGTCCAAGTTCTGTTTGAACCTGAACTCCTTCGAACATTGATCGCATTTGTAAGTTTTCTCGGGCGTGTGAAGTTTCATGTGCGAGATGTAGTTCTGCTTCTGGCGACATTTGAAAGAGCAAAATGTGCATTGGTAGATGTTTTCTTCTAGATGGTGTGCTCGATGGGATATCAACTTTGAGATCTGATCAGATGTATAGTCACCTGGACAAGAGTTATAGTTCATTATACATGGTGTCCCACGTAGAATTGTAACAATCGATTACTCGAAACGCTGACTATTCATTATATTCCCGACAGTATAACTTATAGAATAAAAATTCTTGGGTTTCGGTCAACGTAAATGTTAAAAGCATTACAAAAGGTATTTCAAATGAAATTTTGAAAAACACTTACACACAATACACGCATATATACGCATACATTATATATATATATACATAATATTTATTATTATTATTATTATTATTGAATAATAATAATTATTATGTATATACAGGGTGGCCCATCCATGTGTGGACACAATATTACTCATAAACAAATAGATTTTGGGAAAATCTATTTATGGGATTTTATAAATATTGGCCGTTATACAGGGTGTCCCAATTTCGACCTACATATCAAAGTTGTGATTTTTCAAATGGAATGCCTCAAATTTTATTGCATATTTGGATAACCCAATTCAAAAGAAGAAAATTTATATAACATACTATGGGGTTTTGGTAATTAGCTAGATATAAGGTGTTTTGTCTAGAAAAACTCCCCACTTCGGCTAGCCCTCAGTCCGCCATTTTGGAATTTGGAGTGCTGAATTTTGTATAAAAAAACTTACACATCTCAACTTTTATCTCATTTGTTACTTTTTTGAATTTTAATTTTTGCTCATACAGGGTGGTCAAAAACGCGAATTGTAGTTTTTCTCAAAAATTTCAAATGCATCACCCTGTATATATGTGCAAGCTTGGATTCAATTTTTTGTAAACTTTTTTCATACTAGACATAAGGGTATTAGCACGTTTTTTATGGAACGGCATAATTCCCTAAAATATCGCATCATCCTTGGAAACAAATAAATTGTTGATTAGTTACAAACTGTCAAAATTAGCTTTGTGAGCATTATAATAAAAACGTGTTTGAAAATGAATTTTTCTAAAGAAGAAATGGTGAATATGGTGTTCGTTCACTACGAGAACGTTTTGCATCAAGTGGAGCAGTGGAATATAGTAAAAAATGTATAAATAATCAACAATGAGGCTAATTAGTTGGAGGTTCTATTAAAGTTGCAGGAAAATCCCCATTTAAATGCACAGCAAATTGGAGCAGAAACTGATATATGCAGAACTTCTGTCCAAAGGATTATTCATAAGCCTAGGTACCATCCATATCACCTATGCTTGCATCAACGCCTTCGTCCTCAGGATTTCGCAGCTCGAATGGAGTTTAGTAGAATAATGCTAAATAAAGTGAGTGAAGAAAGACACTATTTTCCTGGATAAGGTTCTTTTTAGCGACGAGGCAACTTTTAACAGCATTGGTGTTATCAACAGGCACAACATGCACTATTATGCGTCGGAAAACCCTTACCGGGTTAGGCAAATAGATTTCCAAAATACATGGAGCCTGAATGCTTGGGGAGGAGTTATTGGAATACAAGTTATCGGGTCTTTCTTTTTCGACAACAGATTAACTGGTACAGAATACTTGAATTTTTTGATCAAGCATTTGTCTTTGCTTTTGGAGGATGTCGACCTGCAAACTCGGATGCATATGTACTTCCAACATGACGGTGCACCTGCACATTATCATAATCGTGTGCGTAACTATCTGGATCGGTCGTGATGGGCCTATATCTTGGCCTCCTAGATCACCAGATATGACACCGATGTACTTCTTTCTATGGGGCTACGTTAAGCAAGAGGTTTATAGATATCCACCGTCTACCCCGGAAAATATGAAGGAAGGATTAAGGATGCTTTTCTGAACATAAGGGAACACATTCCGAGGGATGTGCAACAGTCATTTATCCAAAGGCTACGGCTGTGTATTCAACATGGTGGAGATATTTTCGAGCAGTTTTAGTAGATTAGGCCATGAGTAGAGATAGTTGTTTGTTTATGTTGTTGTTATAGTTTATTTTCTCTATTACGCTTGAAGCTGATTTATACTGTTCTGATTGTTATTAGTTTTTACGTCAAATCTGTACTCTTAGTGGCAATATGAAACTAGCACACTGTTTGTCTTTTGTTTCCATGGATGATGCGATTTTTTTCCTTAATTTTGGTGTGTTGTTCTATTAAAAGCTCAATATCTCAAAATCTAGTTATTTTATCTGAATCAAAGGTTATACAAAAAAAAAGCTTATAAAAAATTGAATCCAAACCTGCACAAGTATGTAGGGTGATGCATTTGATTTTTTTTAGAAAAAGTACAATTCGCGTTTTTGACCACCCTGTATGAGCAAAAATGAAAATTCGAAAAATTAACAAATAAGATAAAAGCTGAGGTGTGTAAGTTTTTGTTGATACAAAATTCAGCACTCCAAATTTCAAAATGTCGGATTGAGGCGTTGCCGAGGTGGACGGTTTTTCTGGACAAAACACCTTACATCTCAGTAGCTAGTTACCAAAACCCCATAGTATGTTAAATCAATCTTCTTCTTTTGAATTGGTTTATCCAACTATCCAATAAAATTTGAGGCATTCCGTTTAAAAAATTACAACTTTGATATGCAGGTCAAAATTGGGACATCCTGTACAATTGCCAATATTTTAGAAATGTGCCCTCAAATGTCATGCCATAAATAGATTTTCCCAAAATGTCCACACAAATCTAACTCTGGATTTTTTCATCAGTATCGTAGAGTACCTTTTCCAGAACAATTATTTTACCTTTAATAACAAAGTGTTTTCACAAACACATGGCTGCCCCATGGGCTCTGTTTTATCTCCAATTTTGGCAGAATATGTAATGGATGACCTGCTTGATGTTGTTATTTTTTTATTATCATTATAATAATATTTATTCCAGTGTACAAGAGTACTGGAAACGTCGCAAATACAAATTTAAAGCATGTAAATATTAAGAAATAGGTAGCACATGTACAACTAGATTAAATCATTATCACATATACAGACAAATCAAAATACATATCGAAGAATTCCATTGCATCATAAATTGCGTTTTGCTCAAAATACTTATATAGTCCTCTTTTTCTATATATATTGCATCTAACTTATTATATAACTTAGTTGCCACATAATTTGGAGACTTTTCAAACAGTGGCAAATTGTGAATAGACAAAACTAGGGTGTCTGTTAGTTTCATAGCTGTGTAAATCAGCATGTGTAACAAACTCATTTAAGTTTTGTTTTGCATATATTATCAGTCCAGTCGTATGTCGTATTATAAAATGATGGTAGAGTGAGTAATTTTTCATGTTTAAACCACGACAATAAACCAAACATGTACCTAATTCCTCTTTTTTGCAATATAAGTACTCTTCATAAAAATCGAGATTTACCCCAAAATAGAATGCTGTACCTTCTTTATTGTAAATGTTTCGCAATTGTGACCTTCTTCAGTACAATGTCTTTGACAATATATTTTATTTATCTATCTTCTAGGTGAAACTTTGTTTTTCTTTTCATATTCATATTCCTATATATGATTATATATTTTATAGGTTTTTGTAATTACAAAAGGAAGATAAGAGTCAGCCTATATGAAATTATACAATATTTTCTTCCTAATGCTTTTGTCGACTGTGACCCAATTTGGTTGAATATCCTTAAAGATATATGTAATTGATATTCTCCAACCAAACTGATGGATCATGATCCTGGTTTTTCTCATGGTTTGTTGTTGGATCATAAACAGGTCGATGTTTTGCTTCGCCATCTCAAGGCTAAACTGAGCTGACTTACACAATAAATTGAACAATTGTTCAACCTTGAAGAAGTTGGACCGTGAAAACGTAAAAGTTGCTGTCAATTTCTTCACAACAATAAATTCATGAATAAATTTCCAGATTCTGATTTTCCGTCAGTTTTTTGGGGAATTCTAGTAACTGTTGTTTTTTTTCCTAGATACCAACCTTCATTATTTGACGCGTTTACATTTTGTGATTTCATCCTCTCCCAAAGTCTATCCATTTTTGAATTACGTAATAAATGACAAATGAATCAAATACATATTTTTATCCATTCCATACATAGACGTTATTCCAAATTTGGATAACAAATATTACAAGGTGGTCATAAGAAAAGAATGAACAATGAAATTTTTAGTAGAAAAACTTTAAAGTTGTCTTGAAATGTTTGTTCATTTGTTAACCATTTTCATATTTCATATTGTTATACATCCCTTGAAGCTCAGCTTTTGAAAATGTGTAAATGGCATACTTACAAAAATCACACTTGAAGGGTGGCCCAGAAAAATGCATCTTCATATGATTCAAATAGTCCCCGTGATACTGACAGACAAACGAACATAGTCCACATTTATATGTGACATCTTTGGCATGACTCAAGGCTAAGTGTTGTTCTAGTAGAAGACTGTCATTAATGTGGTTGAAGCATATTGGACACTTTATACCAACTTTTTCATCAGAATCTTCAGCTGAAAACAGTTTTAAGTATGTAGCCGGTTCACGAAAAAATTTTAAAAGCATACTAAGAAACAAAATGAGGTTAATTAATAAAACAAATTCCAAAAAATTGTTTTATATTGACAGTGCATAAAAATACCTATGCTTGTTATACTAAAACACGTATATAACATGAACACCTTATTTATAATTTCAGAAATTTATCCTGTAGCTATCTTAAAAGTAACTACAGGATAAATTATATAAAATTACTACCTTCCTCAGAATGATTCCCATTTTCTGCTGGCATAGTGATACGTTTCTTTTTACAAGTTAAAACTCTTAAGGCAGCCATTCTCAAACTAGGTTTCAAACCTAGTAACATAAGTTTCTTCAAAATCATTTGCTTCTGATTTTTCAACTTTGTTTTCACTGTGACTCCATTACCTGCACAATTTGGCGGACTAGCGACAATTTTTTCTGTGACCACTATTTTGTGATCATCAGAATCTGCTTCAGACTCCTTTTCATCTGATTGGACCTAATATAAAAAAACAGTTACATAGGGTTCAAAAAAACTTCAATAGAAATCAGTGTACAGCACAAACCTTGAATGATTCAAGTGCAAATTTAAAATCACCACATAGGTGATACTTAAGAGTAACTTAAGTCAGACTCAATACTTAAGTAACACTTCCTACTAAAGTAGTGCCAAACATAGGTCTTGAATCAATACTTACCTGTCCATATTTTGCTTGCAATACATCATATCTTGTTTTGAAGTTTGTGAATGTCCAGTTGTCTCTTGGCAGATAATCAAGGAATGTATAAAGACATAGTTCACTTTTGGCATATAATATAGATGTTTCAAGATGCTTAAAAACTTCTCCCGAGTCCAAACTATCAGGTGGGAAGTATTTCAAAAGACTTTCAAAATATTTTTCTCTCTTATCTAAATCGTTCAGAACCCATTGAGATAATATGTTCAGTGACTTGCCAGTAGTTAAGGCAAAATTCTAAAATAATATTTATCCATTTTAAGCATACACTTCAAATAAACTGATATTCCACAGAAGGAAAATATCCTTGTAAGTGGGTATTGTATATACAGGGTGCGCCATCTTTTATGTCGGTATTTAAACATGAAATAAAAATATAAATATATATATATATATATATATATATATATATATATAAATAAAATAATTTTTATTAAATATGGTCCTTTACAATTTATTGGGACTAGTTTTTGAACACAACATCTATCAAGTGGTAAATTTTATTGCCCAAAACAAAATGTGCCCGTATTGCTGCGTTTTCCATTACTTTTTCGACCATCTCTGGTGCTATAGCGGCGATTGCGGTACGAATGTTTGCCTCGAGTTCTTCAGTGGTCTGGGGCTTGCTGGCATACACTTGACTTTCCAAATAACCCCACAAGAAGAAGTCCGGTGGGGTCAAATCTGGAGACCTGGGTGGCCAGTCAATGTCACCTCTTTTTGATATCAGACGTCCAGGGAATTTTCGTTGCAGAAACTAGATTGTTTCATTTGCAGTGTGGTATTGGCGCACCGTCTTGTTGAAACCAGTAACCATCAAGACCTTTTTCACGCATTTGTGGGCAGACATAATGAGCCAACATCCAGCGATATCGATTTCCATCGACTGTTTCGTTTTCGTTGAAGAAAAATGCCCCAATGATGGTTTTGGCGCAAACGCCGGCCCAAACAGTCACTTTTCGGTCATGCAACGGCATTTCGTGGATTTTCCGTCCCCCAAATGCGGCAGTTTTGCTTATTAACGCCGCCAGAGAGCGTGAAATGGGCCTCGTCGGCCATCACAATTTACTTACAAAAAACAGGTTCTCCATCAACCATGCGAGCGACTGTTTGGGCGTATTCCAAGCGACGTGGACGGTCAGTTGGCAATATTTTTTGTGTTAACTGCACCTTATAAGGAAACAAATGCAAATCATCCTTCAAAATTTGCCGCAACATGGTTCCACTGATGCCAAAATGCTGAGCGCGGTGACGATACGGCACTTTTGGATTCTGGGCAACGCTGTCTCTGACCGCTTCAAATAATTCATTGGAACGTGTTGGTCGTTGATGAACGGTATGTTGACGATCTCCCTCTGTCCTGTACTCAAGAAAACTCGAAACCAAACGACGGATAGTGTTGTCAGACGGTGCCTGTTTGCCACGACATTTTCAACGTTGCGTTAACACAACTGAACAACGATTTTCTATGTACATTGTGACTATTTCGGCGCGTGTCTCGGTGTAAAGCGATTCATGACTAAAATTGTAGTAAATTGACGTTTCAGAAATACGTATAACCAAATCACTCGGTTGGTAAATATCAAAGTCATTCGATGTTACAAAACCGACATAAAAGCTGGCGCACCCGGTACAACATATAGTAAAGTAGTAAAAAATGGTATATGGGATTAATAAGGATCAGAAAAAATCAATACAATATAAATGTAATACAGTCATTTTGTGTTATAGATCAGTCATACGGAAAACATATTTATATATCATGGAGTTTTTTTTTATAAAGATATTGGAATTTTTCTAATATTTATTGGTAAGTTATGGTATAATTTTTTGGTTTTGCAATATTTATTTGTTTATTTTTATTTCCAATATCATATTGATAATTTTTATAATTGGTTGAATGTTTGTTTTTATAAAATTCTAATATATATTATACCAAAATTTATTTTTTTATATACAAAAGTTTTAATTCTATTAACAGCAGTTTGGAGGGATATTGCAAAGATGTGTTATGTATTGTTTTTATGAATAAGTTTTGTATTATTTGTAAAGGATTCGATATATAAATTCAAGCAAATCTTTTGTATTATATCAATCTAAATACAATGGAACTTCCTTTAACCCTATCACATAAACAATATAAGAGCACCGAATTTAAAGAATTTTTTAAAAACAGCTATTGATAAACAATAATTGGTAAATATGGTTTGCTTTTACTCCCATATTTAGCCAATTATGGGTTTTGGTAATTTTTAGTCAGTTTTTCTAAGCATAAGCATTGATTAACATATTCCTTCTCAAGATAGCCAACCATATAGGTACCAAAGAGAAGACACTTCATGGCCATCTTTGCTTTGGCGATCCCCTTATGGATGGCTCTTACATATACCAAGGCAGTGTTGTCAAACTCTCATAAAATGTTAAGAAAAGGCTACAATAATTCTAAGCTTCATGCAGTTCAGTTCTTTTCACGGTTTTTAGTGGTAACATCAAAATGTCATACAAAATTAGTAAACATATCATCTTAAGGACAGGCTGTCTAGATGACTGGCAACCATGTCAAATAGATGATTGGTCAAATAAGCAATTTGAGGTTAGGAAGCTTTTAAATTTCAAGCTGTCCTGCCTCTTTGGGTACTAAAGGAAATCTAATATTCCACATAAGGTCCTGAAAGTTGTATAGCTACACAATAACTTAAAGGTTTGGAGAATGTCACACATAACTTCATGAATGAAAAATATATTTTGTAGGCTGGGAACATATGATAAATATCTCTACCATATAGAAATGTAACAAAAGGATATTTGAACAATGCATTTACTTTATGTAATGATCAACAAATTCATCCAAACTGGATTATCTACCTGGCAACACCATATTTATCTCTGGCTAAATGTGCACAGCACATGTTTAGGTACCATCAGGTGTTTTGTAGATGCTATGTTAATTTTATTCACCTTGCCTGTCGTCTATTTATATGTTGGTACTACTAAAGGGATCTGAACGCACTTTCTATGAGACATCAGCTAAACCAAACATTTTCTTTTTTCAAAGTAGATTCCTAAACCCACTTTTGTAGTCCATTGCAGTCTCACAGATGGCACTAGTACCTTTATGATCCCATTTTGAATGCCAAAATATAATATATGGTTAGATTTGTCAGGAAGAATGCATTAATTAGTAGCTTAAGCAACAAGCCTGGTTATTGAATAATTATTTGTTCGCACTCACCTTATTTTTAAGAAAATTTGCTAATTTATTATGACTCAGTTCAAGAATCTCATCTCCCTTACAAACATCTTCAATATGACTAGAAATCCAGTTTTCAACAACAGTCCCCAAGTGTTTCAACTTAAACCTTTGAGTTAAAGTATATGTAAAAAGACAGTTATCTAGTTGTAGTTTAGCACTTAAGAACTCTATACAGTATTCTATAACTTTGGTTAGTATAAAATGATCAGCTAATTTTAATAACTCTTCAACATTAGAATAGCCTATTGTTATGTCCCCAGTATACATAAAGTTTAATAAAGAATTGAAAATGCTGCTGTCTAAGCAAGATATTGTGAGCTGCTCTCTAGTAATCTTGTGGTGTTTGAGGATAGAGTCAAAATAAGGCGAACTGCAGGCCAGAACATTACGATGTGCCTTAATGACTTTGTTGTTTACAAAAAGAGTGATGTCGCAAAATCTACTGGCTTTTTTCTGTTCAAATAGTTTCTGGAACATTGTCGTACTCAATTCAGCACAATGAAAGGACATCTCGCAATTTTCTTCCATGATTATCGTCTGAAATGTTAAGATGTAGTACACTGATTCTCAGTGTGAAAGTGGGTCATTAGTATTTCTTACTTTGTGTGTAAAGTTAAACTTCAGCATAAAAGTGTTGAATATGCTCGTTTTTCATCATATTCTTCATTTAATTATAATTTTCGGCTTATAATAAGCATTTGTTATGATTTCAATAAAAATAATACTTTTGACATTTTGCACTGCTATTGACACAAAACAGGGTTTACGGCACAAGACTGACGGTTTACGGAACAGAGCACAGAACAAGAATACAGAAACCAGATTATGGATTGGTCAGATGGAGAAACCACGTATAAGTAGAGTGTACGAGGGTTGATCAATATTTTCTCGGTAACGTAGTGGTAAATGCGGAATAATAAAAAAGGTAGAACCATTTCATTTTAGAAGTAAGAAGTTTCTTGGTGGTTTTAGTGACAAGAATAAAGAAAAAATACGAAAGTTTTGTATAAATCTTTAATTTCTGGATTTAAGTCACAGTTACAGAAAGAAATCATCAATTTACATGTACAAGCAATCAAATCAAGTCAACATCTATCAAACTTACTAAATGGATTTTATTTTATTTATAGAAACTTTAAACGTAATAACAAAATAAAAGTATTGCTTTTAGTTTTAGATGTATGGCTTGATTTAACATTTTTCTGCTTATAAAGGTAACATGAAATGTATAAATCTGCAGTCAAGTAGATAGTATATATTATGTGTTATTTCTACCAAACCATGAAAACTCATACGACATGACACACATTTTGTTACGGCGAAGCAAAAATGTATTACATTCAAAGTAGGTGAAATATTGCATACTCTTGCTTCTTGATATCGATGGCAAGACTTAGTTCAGCTCATTTCATTTGGATTCATCCTCTTTTTTGATTGTGTATGCTAGCCAGAATGCTAAAAACATTCCCACAACCTAAAAGAAAGAATAAGTATATTAATAGTATTATTCAACTCTAAGCTCCATCCAAATTCAAAATAGAGGGGAAAAGTGACCCAGAAATCCCACCTGTACAAATGCGATACCAATTCCAACGCCAATCAAGATCTTTGTATTCGATTCTATTTTCATTTGTAACCTCTTATAACATCCTTCTTTGTAAATATAGTTTCGTCCGCCAGATACGCAAAACTCCTCAGGTTGATCAGATTCGTCCATTTTATCCTTGTAGCAGCAAGACATCGGTGTAGAAGACCAGTCGCTTTTTCCATTTACTCCACAGCATTTTACCTAAAAAATAGTAATTTCGATTGCCCAGTAGCGAGACAATTATTAGAAAGTTTCGAATTTTTCCGAAATCGTTTTATTGTCAGTTTTACTTATTATCCTCTACAAGACGGCGTAGTCAAATTTTCAATTCGACATTTTTTCTTTTAACTTCCACAACCATCTTTCTTCCTTCATAGGGACGATACATTCTAATTTTGTACATTTAAATGGACTTTTCAGTCCTAAATTCAGTGATGTATTGTTGGCCATGAATTTGTTACCTAAGAAACTCTGTTTTTCTGGAATAACTAATGGTTGGCAATGTCAATATATGACATATTACACATTTTTGAAATCAGTATTAAAGAGTCTATTAATCTGCGCATAATTCTAATATGAAAAGGTATCAATGTTAGTGTGCAATTTCTTTGAAATCCCACTACAATTAAAGTCAGCAGTAAATGAAAACGATTCTGGGGAAAATGGTTTTTTTCTGTCTCCTTCCGGCGTGGGTATTGTGTAAAAAACGTGAAACAAATACCGACAAAATGTCACCTTGCAGACTAGGCAGCTTTCAGAGTGCAAATAGTTCGTTTCACGTTTGCTCGCATTAATCGCTGTTCGCTGACGTTTAAGCAACACGTACAGCTACAAAACGAGTTCATAGCAAGTTAACATTTTGTAGAAAAAACTACGTTAGGTCACAAAAAACCTACGAAATATAAAAAAAAAACAAACGAAATTTCACTTTTAAAGATGCGTAATACCCTTACGGAACTGCTTTGAATCTCTCTCTTTCTCTCTGAAACTTTCTAAGCAGTATTTTGTTGGTTACCTAAACACGCAACTTTGCCCCCATTTAAGCGACTTCGTATCTCTTTTCGAGATCCCAATAGTGAGGGTCGAATTTGAAACAGCCTGTATGCAAAATGTAGCAAGGCGGCCTTGTAGTATTGCTGGTTTTGTGGACACTTGTCGTTCTGGGGTTCTTTGATTCTGAACATAGGTCATTTCTTGTATTACGTATCTTGAAAACTGACATTATGTCGGTTTTTTGACATTATCTATTGAAAACCAAATACGAACTGACGTCGCAATGTGTACGAAAGAGAAATGCGAGAAGCGTGCGATACGTGTGTTAGAAAGAGATAGAAGCACCTCGTTGCCTAGCATTCCGAGTTCGAGGCCACGGACGCCATCGGCGCACATTACAACGTCAGTCAAATTTGAATATCACTGTATAGGTTTTTTGTGAATTTATTTAGAATTTTCTACAAGATGTCAACTTAGAACTAGCTGTTGTTTACTTGATGTGCACTCGTTCTGTAGCTGTACGTGTTACCTAGACGCCATGACACTTCAGCTACCAATGTTTGGCTCAATGTGAAGTAGCATCTGCTTAAGAAGGCATTATCGAAGGTCTAAGCTGTAGGTTGTATATTATAGTTGGAGGGAAACCGCAGTGCTTAGGTACATAGTGAAGATTTCTTTGCTAATAATTTGTGTCGGTGATAATTCCATTGGTTTTCTTGTCTCAATTACATTTACTTGAGATGTATGCACAGTTAGATATCAGTTTGCGCATCCACTTTCTCTCATTCATCCAGGAAATTAAATACGCAAATTTACTGAGATCCAAAAATGAGAGATAAGAAAAAATGCCTGGTTGGTGAAGTATATATATTACAACTAACAGGTGAGAAAATTTGCTACAGACAGGAATATTTATGAAACGTGAAAAAGTTACAATTTATATTAGTTAAAGTGTGATTTAAATGTTATAGAAATCTATTTTGCGATGTCAAGTAGAAAATACAAATCAGTGCCTAGATGTGAGGCACTGCGAAAATGTTTTGTGTGTGATGCGTGTATATATATTACAACTAACAGGTGAGAAAATTTGCTACAGACAGGAATATTTATGAAACGTGAAAAAGTTACAATTTATATTAGTTAAAGTGTGATTTAAATGTTATAGAAATTTATTTTGCGATGTCAAGTAGAAAATACAAATCAGTGCCTAGATGTGAGGCACTGCGAAAATGTTTTGTGTGTGATGCGTCATTTCTAATTTTCCTATGATGTGGCTTAATGACACACAACGCAGGCGCGGTGATGATTTTCTGTAATGCTAGCCAAAATTTTTTAAAACGCAAGAAACCAGGAAAAATCATAATTTATAACCTTCAACATAACCTCTTTCAGAAGGAATAACACAAATAACCCGTCTGGTTCAGCTAAAAGATATACTTCATGGGTAGCATATTCAGTAATAATTCTCTCACATAGCAAATATCACTGATTTTATACACGCAGACCAATACACACAATCATCCAGATGCGATCTTGCTACTCGACCAATTGTCTTTCTGTCATATCTTCTCAGAGATGTACCCTACAGACTATCTCGACATTTTGCAACCAACAACGCATGCAACACGGAATGAAGTATTTTCAAACTAGAGTTGTCTACGTATATTAATCTAGTTGACATTTTGTCGGTTTTTTCATATTATATAGGTTTTTTTATGTAATAACCCCGCCGTTTTGACACAAATATTACAGAAGGTTTTGAAATTTTGGGGTTAGCATCACGTCAAATCGAAAAAAAATGAGCAACCTATCATGACAGTCAGTAGACAATAGTAATGTGCTTTCTTGGTAATTTCGGTGAACTAGTTCAATAGGTCGTGCTCACTAAAACGAACTATTTTGCACAAGAATAATGTCAGTGAAAGCGGCGCCTCTCGATCTTCCATCCGATCTCCGAACTTAAGCAGCGTCAGGCGCGGCTAGAATTTAGAAGGGGAGCCGCTTCGGAACACCTCGTATTGTTTTTTTTGTGTTTAATTTTTTTGTAAATCTAAATGTTTCAAATTCAAATACTACACGTAAACTGTCGCTAATATAGTAGATGTATCTATGAGATATACACGTTTTCTAACAATCTCATTCCACCAGTTCAGAAGGTTTTCAATCAATAACACAAACCTAGGTATTGCAGACAAAAGCCAAGCGGAAAATGAACTGAAGAAGAAGAAAACAGTATCAGAACTTTTGGACGACTCTGACCTTGAGGTAACATGTCTTTGCACAGTTTAAAATCCAGTCGCAGCAGGCATTAACGAACGAGATAAATATTTTCATTATGCTTTTTTCCACCTGCAGTGTTGCCAGCAGCGATCAAAATCTATCCCAGATTAGTTAAGATGGTTAAAAAAACGTTGGTATCTGCCATCTGTGCCAAGGGAGCGGCTTTTTTGCAGGCTGAGCAAGCAGTCTTGTCAGCAGAAATAGACTAGAAGCCAATGAAGCTAAAGAAATAATGTTTATAATTGGAAGTTTGTAGTTAATTTCCATTTCCATTTAAGTTCAGTTTTCATTTCTTTATGTACCGCAATGAGTGATTTTTTTTAATAAAAGTTAGGTGATTTTTATTTTTTTCAGCCTTTATAACTAATAACATTTATCGTCTTTTTCAGGCTTCCAGGCAACCAGTTATAAAACCTTCTGCTTACGGTTGTGTTCCGTCTCCTTTCTCCTATCTCGTTATCATTCATTTACTCACAACTAGTTCGATTGGATCATCGGAATCCTGTAACACCAGTATTCGTAGTGAACGACTGTGTGAGGTTTTTCAAGGAATGAATCGTTTGAGTCAACTAGTACGTTCGCCAACTACACCCACTACTTTAGTGGTCATAAATACTCTTCCAACCATCCTTATTTTTTGCCGTTGCCAAAGATAACGCATAACAATTCGTTATTCTCGCTGCACTAAAAACTCTTTAATCAAACCTTTTGTTGTACGTTGTCCCATGCAGCTTTTTCAATGTTGTTGTTACTTGAACTCTCATACTGTTCTAGCGACTTCTTCATTGATTTCTTGAGTGTCTCTTGAAAATCTGCTTTATATACGGCCGCTGTAATGCCCACTGCGAATTCCACTATGAAAATAATTATCAGGAATACTGCAAACTAAAAATATAACAATAGATAAGTAACTGTAATTAAATATTACTAATGTCTATTTATCCAAGAGAAACATTAAACCAAACTAATACATAGCGCGTATTCAATGCGTGATGAGCACGTTCATATACGTATACATATCTCCAAAATTTTTCAAAGAGCGATGGGTAGCATATTTTCTCAGGAGGCCAAATCCGAAAGAACCCCAAAAATTGTAAAGAAAAGCAAGCTAAAGGAGGGGGCACAAACCTTACGAAAATCAGTCTCCGGTGAATCTTGCTCAAACTTTGGGAATGAGCTCTCCAGATCATCCCGATCAAGAGTTGTCATGTGCCCTTAACAATCGTATGAAGCGTTTCCGTGATATGCAAGCGAGTACGGGAGTATAAGTAGAAACTTATGAAAGAAAAAAATATTTATGGGTTATTATACATAGTATCTGAGAGCACATTTCTAAAATACCCACAATTATACCAGGTGCTCCAATTTGGCCTCACTTTGAAAATATTTGTTTTAAATGAAAAGCCCTAGTTTTTATTACACACTTGGATAGGACCTTTTAAAGGAAGAAGATTGATATAAGCTACTTTTGATTATTAGTTATTGGGCTATTGGACATTTAATCTAAGAACAACAAAGTTTGACAACCTGCATAACAGATGTCTTGACAGTTTGCAATAGTGTAGACATACATTATAATATAGTGATGAAAGGAAAATATGGGCAGTTAGAATTTCGCAGATTTGACCACAATCATAACCTTCAAGGTCATGCCAAGGTTTTGATGATACACTCCATTCTTGATTACGTAAATAAGGAAAAAAAGAGTGGGATATTTCACATTGACCTTCAATAGTCGAATGGCCCATGGTCTTTGCCATTAAAAAAATCTAGACCATGACCGTTAAGGACAAGTCAATATTTTTTTGGCCCTTGAAACGATAAAAGTGAGTCAATCATGTTCACGAATTTCAAGTCAAGTCAATTGTTTTCAAGATAGTACTTCACTTGATCATGACGTGACCTTAAAGGTCATGGTCAAGATTTATTATTGGCAATGTTCATGGCTCAATGTAGATATTTCAATGTGGAATATTCCACTCGTTTTATTTCCGTAATGAAAAATGGAGTGTCTAAAAAAGTGACTTGACCTTGACATGACAGTAAAGGTCATGGTCAAATTTGTGAAATTGTAACTATGTTTTCTTTTCATCAATATATTGACATATATGCCTATACTGTTGTAAACTGCCAAGACAGCAGATAATGGCTTATTCACGAGTAAAATAACAGCTGATTATCTAGTAATATTTCAAAATTCTAAAAATTCTCCATAGCGACAACTGCTACTCAACTCGGACAGATCCGTCAACGACACGTAAACAGGGCCTTATTTTGTAATTTTTTTTTGTACGCTACGTAATCATTTTGTACTTGCTAACAGCTCTTTTATTTAGAAGAGTTTGTTCGCATACAAAAAACGCTATAAGCAAAATGACTGCTAATGATTATTACTTCATTATAAGTCAGATAGGAATGAAAAGAAATAAACAGTTTTTGACTTTGTTAATCATATCTACATCTTAGATCTTAAAACACCACATGATTTTAAAGAGCAATGAAAAAGCCATATTTGAATTACGTTACACTTATGACGAACAATTAACCAGAAAGAGGTACCTATATTATTTTGCTTGTAAAATTACAGCTACTGAAAATGGCAACACAGTGTGTTGACTTAGTTCGTACTAGAATAAGTTTCTAATAAACATTTTTCTGCTTGTACTTCACGTCACAACAAGTATCTAGATATGTGAATAAAAGCTCTGAATACGGTCAAGATTTACACCCGATTCATTATTGCCAACGTTACAGCCTAATACAAAGATGCCTCTTGCTGATGAGCTATACACTTCATTATGTTCCGTCCTCGTCGAAGTAAATATTTAGAATACATATCGTAGTAACCTCGTAGTAGTACCCAACCGCCACGATTTCAAAGCGCGCACGCAGGGAAGGAAAGCGGTACCACGCCTCTTCCCCCTACCTTTCTCCCCTCTGGCCGCCAATAAACCATCATTCCTTGTTCTCGTGCCCGACCGTCAAGACGTTAATCGGCGTGCCTCGTTTACGTGCACTGCAGTGTGGAGGATCCGCTGAACATTTAGAATTAGAAAACAGGAGAGAAGGTTGGCCGATAGATGTGTATTGTCGAACGAGATACCGACCGACGCGACGGTCGTCTGAAGATTGCTTTCGTCGCCGACTAAAATTAGAAAGTGGCGTGCAGGCCTCTTTTTCTGAAGGGGCATCACCATCAGGTAACTGTCAACGAACCGATCTGTTTTAGGTGCAAGTTAAATGAATATTAGTATGGATGCCTCACTGGCGCTGCAAATTGTGCTTAGCATGACGTTTGGGATAACGTTCTGACACTCTTGCTTGGGATAGCAACCCGGGCCTAGCTTGTAATAGCCAACTTCATACCTAGGACGGACAAAGACGTTTAGGATTACGCTGAAACATTTTACTCGGTTACTTGGGATAGCAACGTGGACCTGGCTTAGAATAGTCAGCTCCACACCAAGGACGAACGAAGACGTTTCGGATAACGTGGAAGCATTAGACTCGGTTGCTTGCGATAGCAACGTGGACCGGGCTTGGGATAGTCAGCTCCACACCAAGGATGGACAAAGATATTTGGGATAACGTTGTAACATTGGACTCGGTTGCTTGGGATAGCAACATGGACCTAGCTTGTGATAGTCCACACCAAGGTCCAATGAAGATGTTTGGAAAAATGACTCAATACTGAACTTCGTTGCACAAATAACAACACAGAAAGCGTTTGGGACAACGTAGCAACAAGGTATGGTCAACAATATTTTCTCTTTTGCTTGTGATAGTAAATTTCATCTGGTTTGTGATAACCATGGAACAGGACTGTAAGTTTGAACGTGGCAGGCTAGGAAGTTGTTAAGATATATTTTTTCCTTATTACCAGATAGAGATTAGGTATGTTATGTGAGGTTAGCGTTACATTTTGCTTGTGATGGCAAATTTCATCTGGTTTGTGATAACCCTGGAACAGCATAATAAGAATGCACAAGACAGTTTAGGAAACTGCCGAAGTACCATTTTTCATTAATAACAAATAGAGATTAGGTTCTTATATGCGAGACTAGCGTTACATTTTGTTTGAGATAGCAAATCCCATCTAGCTTGTAATAGCAATGTAGCAATATAGCATTTTTCATTTATAACAAATAAAAATTGGATACATTTATGTGTGACTAGAGCGGTACATTTTGCTTGGGATAGCAAATTCTATCTGGTTTGTGATACCTACGGAACAGTATTATTGTAAGGACGCACATGAGAAGTTAGGAAGAAGTCGAAATACCATTTTTCATTAATGAACGACAGAAATTAGGTACATCTATGCGAGACTAGCGTTACATTTTGCTCGTGATAGCAAATTCCACGTGGTTTGTGATAACCGTGGAACAGGTATGTAAGTATGAACATGTCAGGTTAGAAATCCGCCAATGTATATCTTTTTCTTATCACCGGTTAAAGAATAGGCACTTTATGCGAGGTTAGCGTTACATTTTGCCTGTGATAGCAAATTTCATTTGGTTTGTGATGACCTTGGAATATCTTTGTCAGAACGCACATGACAGTTTAGGAAACCACTAAAGTACCATTTTCATTAATAACAGATAGAGATTAGGTTTTATCTATCCGAGACTAGCGTTACATTTTGCTTGTGATAGCAAATTCCATATGGTTTGGAATGGCCATCGAACAGGTCAATAATATGCCCATGACAGGTTACGAAACAGCTGAAGTACTATTTTTTGTTAACAACATATAGCAAATTCCACATGGCTGGTGATAACCATAGAACAGGACTGTACGTATGAACATCTCCGGTTAGGAAACCACCAAAGTTCTAATATTCAGTAATAACGGAAGTTAACCCTTAACCGGAAAGGTGCCGTCTGTGAGACTGCGGCGTTTCTATACCTGAGCGTATCTTTTTTTATTGCACCTCTAACAGACGTAAAAACCCATCTAATCCATAAGCTATTAGTGACCATCGCCCACCCCCATTCACACGAGTCTAGCCAAAACGTGCCTTAAAATATGGACCAATTTTAGTTTGTTGCAGTCTGTCAGACGGCACGTTTCCGTTCCCGTTTGCTATTTGTGTTGAATAGGTGCGTTTGCGAGTATGGCGGGACCTTCTAAACGTGTACGATACGATGATCCGGAGTTCGAAGAAACCGTTCTAAAATGGTTTGAGGATGAAGGAAGTGACTTTAGTGATATAGACAGTGCCTCAGAAGACGAATACATGGAATCAGATCATACAAGTGATAGTGAGTTATCAGAAGACGGAGCCGAAGGAAATGAAGAGGATTTACCAGCTCAGAATTATTTCTATGGAAAAAATCGTCATAGGTGGAATATTTCGGAAGTTGTACCATCATCACGTACAGGGAAGCACAATATAGTCATTAAAGTACCAACTCTAAGAGGAAAAGCTCATGAATATGGAGAAGAAGCAGCTCCGTTGACGGTTTGGCAGCTTTTGTTCACTGACGACATGTTGGTACATATCGTTAAGTGGACCAATCACAAGCTCAAAGAAATGCGAAAGAGATACAAAAATCAAACCAGCAACCTAAACGACACTGATTTAGTCGAAATAAAGGCACTATTGGGTCTCTTAGTATATACATCGGTGTTCAACAGCAACCACGAGAACATTGAAACACTTTTTGCCACCGATGGCTCTGGAAGAGATATATTCAGAGCTGTCATGAACATAAAACGATTTGGTATTCTCCTGTCAGCCTTAAGGTTTGATAACCCAGATGACAGGAATGAAAGAAAGAAGCTAGATCCAGTAGCACCAATATCTTTCATTTTTAATAGTTTTATAAAGAACTGTCAAGATGTGTACGGAGTTGGCCAGTCTGTCACTGTCGATGAAATGC